GCAGTCATTTTTTGCTCTGATTGAGGGTTTGTGAGACCTCTTTCTTGATTTTTATTATCCCTTTCTTTTTTTGCCTGAACTGTTTCCTTTTTTGGAATTACAGTCAGCGGGGTGCCCCAGTTTTGTAAGTCTCCTTCATGGGTTTTGACTTAATGGGCTTTTCATTTTTTGAGATAATGACTGCCTGTCCTTATGATTGTTCGGAACCATTACTGTCTTTTTCTTTTTTGTAAGGACTCCTTTGGTGCCATTTGTTATGCACTTGGATCAACTGAGAGAACTACCCTGCCCCCAGGTTATGATTAAGGGTTTTAAATTTTGAAACGAAAAACTCCTACTTCTTTGGCTCAGAGGGGTTGACGAGGGATTATCATCCTTATAACTCCAGTGTTTAGGGATTGAAACAATGCCTGTACCTCATCAGCGGGGTCTGTTCAAAAGCATACTGTAGATTATGGTATCGTTTTCGTCATCCTCCCTCAAGAGGCTTAGAATTTTAGATCCAGAGTTGACATCAGAAAAAATATGAAAAGAAATTTGAACATAATGAAAACAATTGTATTAATTCCCAAAACAGACGTATGTGATGCATTGATAGAATAAAAGAGTTTGCTATGACATTAATTGTTTGTATAAGCAAAGAAAAATACAACTCAAAAATTCAAATAAACAAAAGGCTTCAATGATTGGGCAACGGAGCAGTGATTATGTTTGGAGTCTCAGGCACTTCAAACTGAATCTCCCCGGCGTCGATCATGTCTTGAATCTTGTTCTTGAGAGGCCAGCAGTTGTCCGTAGTATGCCCCGGGCTATCAGAATGATATGCGCACCTATCATTGGGATGATAGTTGGGAGCAGAAGTGTTCGGATTCCGGAGAGGAGCCCTTAAGGTGATCAGTCCTGCCTTCAACATTTGTTGCAGTGCTTGATCCAGCGACATGTTGATTTTGGTGTACTGTCGTTTCTCCTTGCGCTGCTGCCCCTGTCCTTGTTGAGCAGGTCCAGGATTGGAGATCTGGATTGCCCCTACCTCATGACGGCTCTTTTTACCGTGCACAGCATTGGATTCTTTCTTTCCATGATGAGGCTTTTTATCAGAAGGTGCAGCCTCTTGAATTTTCCCAGACCGGATGCCAGCTTCTATTCGCTCTCCAGTCAATATAAGATCTGTGAATCCAACAGATGAATTCCCAATTAGGTGGTTGTAGAACGGACCAAACAGGGTCCCCAAGAACATATCGACAAGTTCCCGATCAGTCAGAGGTGGTTGTACCCTTCCAGCAAGATCCCTCCATTTCTGCACATATTCTTTAAAACCTTCACTTGATCCTAACGACATACCCTGGAGTTGGGTACGCGTAGGAGCAAGGTCGGCATTATATTGATACTGCTTGTAGAAAGCAGTAGCCAACTCCTCCCAGTTACGAACCTTGGTCCCATCTAGTTGATAGAACCATTCGAGATGAGTCCCTGAAAGACTCTCCTGGAAGAAGTGGATCCACAAATTCTTGTCCACCGTATATGGTTGAATCTTCCGAACATAGGACCTGAGATGTAACTTGGGACAAGACGCCCCGTCATACTTGGCAAAGGATGGTGCTTTGAACTTCCGAGGAATAATCACACCAGTTGACAAACCCAGATCTCCAAAATCCAGCCCCGGTACCTGTTGGATTTCCATAGCATTCAGCCTATCCTCTAACTGTTTGTACTTGTCTTCGGCAGGAGGGTATTGTTCGTCGTTGAAATCTGTCTCGTTGTCGGAGACCACTGGACTAGGCACCTCTCTCTCATGGTGACTGCTTTCCCTCACAGATGGGGTTGTCCTCTCAGTTTCCTCCTGCAGTGTATTCCTAGATCTGCGTCTAGGGCTGAATAAAACAGTCCTCTTCTTCTTCTTTTCCTTCTTCAAGAGCAGAGCCTTCAGATCTTGTTGCCCCTGGGTCAAATTCATGATCAGCCCTTGGAACTGGGCGTTCTGAGCCTGGAGGGCCTTGATGGACTGCTCAGCTGATGATTCAGGATTCATGACGATCGGCTGAAATAAACAGCGAAGAAGGGTAAGCAACCTGTCAAAGGGATACCTGCAATGCAATGAGATGTATGACATACATGTAATGTTTTCAAGGACCTCGCGGGGTAGACAAAAAATTTGTTAGCATTTGGATCCGGTAGCTTGATTGAAAGAACTTCATATTGTTGAGAGTCCTTCGTCAAGGGTCAAAGGCTCGCCATATCCAGTGGGTCATAGCCCCTGACAACCTTGGCTAGAGGAAAATAAATCCTCTTTGCCCCTTGCTGGGATAGTTGATTCACCATGACCTGCATCACAAGCCCTTGAGATCCTTGAAATGAGTTAGGATGTATGCAATGGTATGATGTTATGGTATGCATGGGGTAATGTGAGTAGCCCTGTTATGAGTCCCAATTAAGGACTATAAACAAACCCTGCAAGAAACTCAGTATACTTTGTTATGAGTCCTAATTAAGGACTATAAACAAAACCTGCAAGAAACTTGGTAAACCTGGTTATGAGTCCTAGTTAAGGACTAAAACAAAAACCTGCGAGAAGTTCAGTTATGAGCCCTAGCTAAGGACTATAAACAAAAACCTGCAAGAAACTCAATACGCTCCGTTATGAGTCCTAATTAAGGACTATAAACAAAACCTGCAAGAAACTTAGTAAGCCCTGTTATGAGTCCCAATTAAGGACTATAAACAAAACCTGAAAGTAGTTCATGTGTTAGATAACAAGCATGCAAGTAGTCAAGTACGAAGGCACACAAGTCACACAAAAGAGCCCTTAGAGTTTAGGCCAGCATGAAGTTTGGGGTACTACCCTCTTTCAGTTCGTTGGTTCATACCTGTCCTAATCAAAAGTAACCGGGTTCTTAGAGGATCCCAATATCATTGACTAACCTCAATCGGTCATAACTCCAGCATCGCAATCTTTTCTTGCGGCCAGAACCATCACGAGAGTTTAGCCTCAATGGGCGTAGCATACTGCTACTGTTCTAATGGCCAAGTTGTGTCATTTAAGGTTCTAAGGTCTCTTGGTGCTTAATGACTCCTTGGAAGACCCATATTCTCCCCGTTTCAACACGAGGGATATCAGTACAGACCAAGGCGCCACACCAACGTAGCCACTGCTTCACCCATGTCGGTATACGCCGGACAGGTCCCTCACAGCTTATGCTACCTAAACAGGGTATCCCCAGATCCGGGTTAGGATCTATGTAACTCTGATACAACCCACAATAGTAAAGCAAGCAAAGAAGACAATTGAAAACACAGTTATGAACTAACCCTAAGGTACACCTCACTTTATAAAGGTATCCCCAGCAGAGTCGCCAGTTCTGTGATCGGTGGATCTGGAACCGACTGTTTAACGCTGGTTCGCGAAATGTCGCGGAAGCAAGAGTCGCCACCGTCTTTTATTTTCTCCAAATGGAAAGGACAAAAGCACAGAAAAATTCCTTAAAGAGATTGCTCTCGGTTCGGGAGGTAGGTTATAGAAAGGGAAGGTGTTAGCACCCTTTCTATCCATGGTTATCCATGGGCTCTTAGATACTTGCTCATATGTTTTCAAAAATAATTTGTTTGCTTTTCAATGTGGGTTTTAAAAAAGTTTCTTTGAAAATTCCAGTTCGACTCTTGTGTCAGAGTGTTTGAAAAATTGCTTTGAAAGCTTTTGAAAAGTGTCGGTGTGAAAAGATTTTTGTTTGTTTTTGAAGAGAGCAAGTATCTACGAGAACCTACCTACCCTAAGGAATTCGTCTGTGTAAATATCCTTTAAAGTAGTGCCATCCCACCATTGAGAGGTAGGTAGCACCACCGTTGGAGGTGTTCGGGTCAATTCGAGGTTCGGGACATGGTGATCACCGGAGCAATAGGAAGATACCTTAGAAGCTACCCTCATGCCAGGTTCCCGGATCATGAGGACTTACTAAGACATCCTCTACTCGACGATCACCTTTCGAGGCAAGGCAACAGTGAGGCGTACCCTAGGGGTGGTGTGTGATTTGTGTGTCAGATTCATTTATTTTTGTCTTGTCATGTCATGGGTGATCTACGCGTTATTTTTATTTAGACATTCATTCTTGCATGCGATTTAATTAACAGTTAAAAAGATGCGGAAATTAAAAGTTCTAAACTATTACAAAGGCGCGGGTCCACATCGCCAAATTTAATCCAGGACCCGATTTGACAGAAAATAAAGAAAGGAAAAATGCGAGAAGTAATTACAAGGCTTCGGGAGAGGTACATAATTATTATAATGAAAATAAAATAAATATGCGAAATTAAATCGAAACGAGGGCGTTGGACCCTTTTGCAAAAATTGAATTAACGATGAATTAATTAATTAAAAAGAAAGCAAGAATTTGTTTTTGGTGTTTTTTAATATTTTATGATTTTAATGCAATTAAACCTAATTCTACAATTTTTATTTTATTATGAAAACATATTAAAGTTTAACCTAAAATTAACCCTAATTTTTTTTACATGCAATTTAATCATAAAAATAAATAATAGGAAATATTTTAATAATTAATTACTGTGGAATAAAAATAAATAAAAGATAAAAATTAATTAAACCCTAATTCTATGTTTTTTTAATTTATTACAAAAACTATTAAAATTTAACCCTAAAATTAAACAAATTGATTAATACCAATTATCTACAAAGAATAAAATATGTTTTTATATTGTTTGTATTCTTTTGATTTTTTTATTAGATTTTATATTGGTATCAAGACATATCAGATTACTTATCAAAATAATAGAAAGAAAAAAAATAGGAATTACAAACAATAAAATAAGGTTTTGAACAAAACAGCTTAACCTTCCTCTCTCCATTATCCACGTTCCACTCTTTCCTTTCCTTCATCATTCTGCTTTTCCTTCCTTCATCATTCCATCTTTTTCCTACACCTGATAACAACAAATAACTCTGTTTAAAACCGAAAAAACAAGATGAATCAAACCTTGGATTAGTGAAAATGGTCGGTGGCCGGAAGCAATCGGAACGCGGGGAGGCCGGAGGCGGTGGATTCGTTGAGCGAGTAAGGTGGAGCATTGGCCGGGACCGATGAGGTAAGTGCTTCACAACGGTATCAGCAAAAAGACGCGTATCATCTTCGGTGTTACCTTCCGGCACATCAACTATATAAGATTCAAGAACAACCGTCCGGATCTCGCCGTCACCGTCATCAAAGCCGTGAACGGAGGTAACAGAACGGCAGTTTCTCAACCGGTGTTCTCCGCCGGTGATACTGAATCCGGTGACGCGGCGTTCGTCATCGAGAACGTCGAGTCTCTTGGTGCTGGTTTCCGCCGGGAGACCGGAGATGACATTGACGTCTCTGGTGCAACCGACTTTCATTTGGAAGCCGTCCTTGAGAGGGCAGCTTTTGATGAAGTGTTTGTAGATTTGCGGTTTGTCGAAGCTGTGGACGACGGACCAGACGGTTTTGGAAGTGGCGGTTTTGTCGGTTGTCTTGTGGTTGCCGCTGTGATTTCATATCACTATCTGCTTCTCTGGTCTTTTGATTTTTTTTTGTTCATTGTTGAGAGTTGTTGTTGTAACCATTGGTGGTGGTTTAAGGTTTTGCTCGATTCAACAACATAAATTATGAAGACTTTGGTTTGCGGTGAGTTTATTTGAGTGGTAATTTTGTTTACAAATTATGGATAAAATAAGACGAAAAACTTGGTAGATATGTGCAGAAAAAGTAGGTTACAATATATGAAGGCCAAGGTAATAAAATTGATGAATGGAGTATGTACGTGACAGTAAGGTGTGGAAGTTGTGATGCATAAAAAAAATGGTCCCCTTGAGCAGCTTTTTTGTGTCCTTTTATTAGGTTTTTATTATGCCTCTATGTATGAATGGATTAGGTTAAAGATTTGAGTCCAAAAGCCTTGTAACCATGAATCCAATATTTTATTTTAATGGCAAAACATTTTCTAATCTTTTCATGCAAACTTAGTTCAAATCATGGCTAATTAACAAGATTCTTTCCAAATCTGATTATACACACAATCTTGAGATTATTTCATGCACAAAAAGATTCAAAAACTAGGTTTAGTATTTTTCACATATTTAATTTAATTAAATGAATTATTACTAATTAAAAATCCAAATAAATAAATAAAAATGATAAAAAACTTCCCTTTGGGCCAAATGGTCGTGCACATGTTTGGAATGATGAATTATGGAAGAAAAATGGGCCCATTAGCAATTTTAGGTCATTTGAAGTAATGTTGACTTTTCAAAATATCCAAAAATTTCCCAACTTCCACAAGGCATAACTTGCTCAATTTTTAAGATTGTCTTATGTTCTTGGACATTTTGGAAAGGTATTTGAGTCCTCTAACCAATGCCTTTGGTCCCATGTCATTTTGATTTACCAATCTCAAGTTATGGCCTTTGACTTAAAGTCCCTTTTTGTTGACTTTTGAAAATGACCTATAATGTTGAAATTGATAACTTTCTGTGAGAGCATTTCTTGGACTTGAAGTATGAAGATGAGTTGTAGGAAATGTCTTTCTCTTCAAAATGAGCTTTGGATGGAATTTTTCTGATAATCCATGTGAAAGTTATGCCCTGGTCAATTTCAGTTGACTTTTTCATCTGTCCAAATAAGGAAACTTTTGCATCTTTGATGATTTCTGAGCCAAATTTTGAGAATCATGATCAAGCATTGATCAAATGATGTTTGTGGCTTCAAAATGATATGTTGACCAAAAATTTGAACTTTTGACTGCCAAATGACCATTTTGCCCCTACAGTTGACTGTAGTGCAATTAGGGTTTTGACTGTGCAATTTTGAGCTGAATGCCTTGAAACTTGATATGAGGATACTTGACCATATTTGTAGGCATGTGAGACTTGATTGTGCCTTTGAAAACTCCATTTTCTTGATCAGAACACAGACCCTAGTTTTGACTGTATAGGAGACCTTTGCACTATGCAACCCTTGGGGAATTTTGCAGCTTGACTTGGCAATTTCTTGGAGAATATGGGAGGGTAAATTTTGGGGTACAACACATGGCTCAAAAAGTCTCAAGATGCAAAAGTTTCTATTTTTGGACAGTTGGAAAAGTCAACTGCAAATTGACCAGGGCATAACTTCCACATGGTTTATCAGAAAAATTCCATCCAAAGCTCATTTTGAAGAGAATGACATATCCTACAACTCATATTCACACTTCAAGTCCAAGAAATGCTCTCACAAAAAGTTATCAATCTCAACATTATAGGTCATTTTCAAAAGTCAACAAAAGGCACTTTAAGTCAAAGACCATAACTTGAGATTGGTAAATCAAAATGACATGGGACTAAAGGCATTGGTTAGAGAACTTCAAGACCTTTCCAAAATGTCCAAGAACATGATCAAAGCTTAAAAATTGAGCAAGATATGCCTTGTGGAAGTTGGGAAATTTTTGGGAATTTTGAAAAGTCAACTTTGCCTCAAATGCCTCAAAATTGCTAATGGGCCTCATTTTCTTCCATGAAACATTACCCAAAATCCATGCACGACCCATTGACATCCAAGGGAGTTATTTTATCATTTTTGATTAATTATTTGAATTATTATTATTATTAATTCACTTAATTAAGATTAAATATGACAAAAATATCAAATGCCACCTTTCAAATCTTTTTATGCAGCATATGCACTCTTTATGTACTCAAGATTTCATGCACATCCAAAAGGGAAAGAATCTCCCATGATTGGAAAGTTCCATGGCAAGAAAAGATTGAAAAAGATCATGAAAATCAAGTATTGAAAATCATTGAATACAAGGCTTTGGGCTCAGTTTTTCTAACCTAAATCATCCACATACATAAGCATAACAGAACCCTAATGCCAAGAACAAGAAAGCTGCGCAGGAATTGAGAGAACAACTTTGCATTTTTTCCAAAAAAATTGAAAACTGTTTTCACAGTTAGAGTTCGTTTCAAAGCCAAATAACTATTCCATTACACTCCTGACACATCCAAGAAGCCATTCCAATCAAATTCAACCCTCCATACTCAAGGAATTGGTATAACCGTGTTCTACTTTTCTTGAAAAATTTGATAATCGTATTCCATTTTCCATGCATGATTAATGTCTTTTAATTGTTGGTTTATACTAATATGATCTCTCTGAAGCTAATGGCGTTATCCAATTGAACTAATATGGCCTGTATGCAAAGTTACCATGAGAGCTTTCTAGGGTTTCAGGGACTTTGAAAGAGGGTTTCGTTCCTTTGGAAAAATTGGCCAACCACACTTATACCATTAGAATCAGAATCTTCTGACGATCTAAAACCATACCTCGCGCTCAATTTATGATGAACCATGCTCTAATCGTTATTATTGTATATTGTAGTTAGTGGGGGTTTAAAACCCCCGCTATTTGTTCATATTTGCAGGCAAAAACGAAGACACAAGGGGGACGAAGCTGATGTGTCCAAACGCGAATGGTTGGTTTGAATAACTGGCGCGCGTTTTCATCAAATCCCACTAATTCTTGTTCTCTCTCATAATAATTCTTATCCATCACAATATCAAAGAAATGCACTAGCTCACTTGGTTAGCACGCTGGCATGCAGGTATTGGGACCTGGGTTTGATTCCCAGGTCCCCCATATTTCCCAATAATTTTTCTTGTAACATGTTTCTATGCAGCCTTTCCTCAAGGGACCACCATGCAGCCTCACCATCTAGCTTGCCACGTGCCCAGAAGCCTCCATCCAATGGCCAGGTCATGCACTCCACCATACACCCTCAGTCAACCATATGCAGACGCGCTGGAAAAGTCAAAGGGGCCCTGATTCAATGGGCCAAGATTACTACAAATTAACCTCCCAAAAAAGGCCAGCACCCCCATGGTTTGCATTTTCTTTGTCCTTTTTCTTTCTTCTTTTTATTTTAATTGTTTTTTTTCTTCTTTTGTTTTAATTAATTCCATAAAATAATTTTTACAATATAAAAAACAGAAAATCATAAAAAATAAAAATATGTTTTATTTAATTTTTAATTCATCAATATTTTTGTAAATAAATTTTAATAATCCAATTAGTTTAAATTAGGCTTTCAGTTTTAATATTTTCTTAATAACTAAAAAACATAAAAATTAGGTTTAGCATTTTCACTCTTTTTTCTCAATAAATAAAATTTTCTTTTTTATTAAAATTAACCATTAATTATTTTGTAAATAAATATGTAATTAAATAATTAGGATAAATTAGGTTAAAACTTTAATCTTTTTTTTCTTTAATAATTAAAAAATATTTAGAATTAGGGTTTCTTTTAATTAATTCTCTTTATTTCCATTAAATACAAAAAATATAAAAAAAACAACAATTTCTTTTCTCATTAAATAATTAATTAACTTTCAATTTCAATTCAATTTCTTTAAAGGGTCCAACGCCCTCGAACACTCGATTCCAATTTCTTTGCGCACGCGTATTCTTATGTTTCTTTTAAATCTTATGTAAATTGCCCCAAAGCCTTGTAATAGTAATTAGGAAATTTATTTATTTTCTGCATTTTATTAAAATCGGGTCTTTGTTAATTTGGCGATGTATAGACCCGCGCCTTGTAATAGCGTATGACCTTTATTTTCCGCACTTTAATTTCCGCACCTTTTAACTGCTAATCACATGAAAGAATGTATGCCCAAATAAAATCAAAGCGTAGATCACCATAATGCATGACAAGATAAAACATAACTGAAAACAATACACACAATTCACACACCACTCTTAGGGTACGCCTCACTGTTGCCTTGCCCCTCGAAACGTGGTCGTCGAGTATAGGACGTCTTAGTAAGTCCTCATGTCCACGAACATGGCATGGGGGTAGCTTCTAAGGTATCCTACTGTTGCTCTGGTGACCACACTGTCCCTAATCCTCGAATTGACCCGAACACCTCCAACGGTGGTGCTACTTACCTCTCAATGGTGGGATGGCACTACCTTAAGGACATTTACACAGCCTAATTCCTTAGGGTAGATGGATGACTCATAGATACTTGCTCTAATTCAAAACAAATCAAAAACTCTTTTCACACCGACACTTTCAAAAAAGCTTTCAAAACAATTTTTCAAACACTCTTGAGGACTGATACAAGAGTCGATCTGAAATCTTTAAAACGAAACTTTTTCAAACTCACTCACAACTGAAAAGCAAACAAACATTTTGAAAACACAAATGAGCAAGTACCTAAGAGCCCATGGATAACCATGGATAGAAAGGGTGCTAACACCTTCCCTTTCTATAAATCTACCTCCCGAACCGAGAAACTATCTCATAAGGAATTTTATTGTGCTTTTGTCCTGTCCATGTTGGAGAAAATAAAAGACGGTGGCGACTCTTGCTTCCGCGACATTTCGCGAACCAGCTTTAAACAGTCAGTTCCAGATCCACCGATCACAGAACTGGCGACTCTGCTGGGGAGTTCTTATAAAGTGAGGTGTACCTTAGGATAGTTCATAACTGTGTTTTCAATTGTTTTGACTTGTTTGCTTTAAATTGTGGGTTGCATCGGAGTTACATAGATCCTAACCCGGATCTGGGGATACCCTGTTAGGTAGCATAAGCTGTGAGGGACCTGTCCGGCGTAGACCGACATGG